AACAACAATCGCTGCAGCCACAGCAAGCACGATGGGAGATGAGGTGACGGATTTCATCGCAGATGGCAGCCTGCGTAGAAAGGGGGGGATTTGAACCCCAGGCAATGACGGTCACTTGCTAAGCGGGACGCATTACAGGTGTCATACACCACCGCCGTACAGTGTTTGTATCCGTAGGCATGGTCGGCCACCCCCCTACCTGGCCATGTGCCACGGCCTTGGGTACACCACCGTGATTTTGACTTGCTTGTCCAACCCAAGGTATTCTGCGCTAACTTTCCTTAACCTAGGTAGACAGGCGAATTGATTTGAGTCCTGACCGTGCCTTACGTCCGTCGAGACACGCGCCGTTCGTTGGAAGAGCATGGATGCGACGGCTTTCGCCCGTAACTACGGGGTGCCCTTATTCCCTAACACTCCCTAGTGATTGTCACACTTTGCTGGAGGATGACTCCCCTGCTGCAATGTTGGCGCTAATACTGCGGGATGTACGAATATTGTTGCAGTCAGTAGTTTTGGTAAGGGCTCGACGCCATCGCCGCCTGCCCGATTCCCCATTTCCATTCCTCTGGGACCCGGAACGGTGAACGGACCCAAGGATCCAACCCCCGGGCCTTGTGTTGTCATCTGGTCTGTTTTAAACGGCTGCTGGATAGCGGCCATGTCTGTAAATCATTAGGGCGTCGCTAGTCTGTTCGTCAGTCTTGCCATATTCCCAGCATCACCTCCGTGAGCAATAATACCATAGCATTCTATCTACTGCACGGTGGCCATGGTACATCGCCTGGAGGATACCGCCAATACCAGGACGACAATGCGTTTCTTCATCGTAGGTATTTGACGTTGATGTGGTTTTCTCCTCCACCACTCCGTCCCTGCTCATCAGTAAGTACGTCATGTCGGGCGGCATCCTTCACGTGGGATATGGAACGGAAGCTCCACTTGGCCAGTTTCACGGCAGGCATGACAACAGCAGGCGAAATATCCAGCAGACAGAACTGCATGGCCTGGTAAAACTGCCGACTGGTCAATAGTGACGAGACGTGACGAGACGAGGAAAGAGAAGAAGGGGGGGGGTTAAGTTGACTTTGCTTGCTATCTTTGTGTTCGTATGTCTACTAGACGCCACGGGCCCAAACGAGACATATGTCCGCAGCCATCGCCGGTGCCGTGGTCTTCAGCCGGGGCCAACGAGATTTCTTTTGACACCGGGTTCTCGCGTTCTCGCGGCACTTCTCTGTGCACATTAGCTGCGCCCGATGGTCTGGTACACCGGCGACTAGATCCTGTAGCCGGTGGCAGCCACAGGCGGCGCTAGCAACAAGCAGTCATGCCGAGTCCAAAACCCTTGATATGGCACCAAGCAGGGCGAACGTTGGATTCCAGCAATCGAGGGAGCACTGAGCTGTGGCTTGGGCTCGATGTGCGTGATTGTCGATGATCTACACAGAGATACCTTCAAGCTTCTGTCCACGCTTCTTGCCCCTCGTCAGTCTGCACAGGGCGGCTTGTTTTAGTGCATTCAGGCAGGCGACGCGGTGCGGGGGCCAGCATCCACGTTCCCGGGATTGCGGCATGGGCGTCATGGTTTGCCGGTGTCAGCAGTAGAAGCCAGGCTCGGCTGGGAAGCTTAGAATCAAGACGAAGCTGGGTAGTGTCCATTGAGGGTTCCTTATCCAACATGATTAGACTCCTTACTTCTTCTTCAACCCTATGCATGGCTGCGGGTGCGTCGCATTGGTTCTCTGTAGAGATATTCGAAAGTTGGGGTGGCAGCTCACAATTGGAACTCCCTGTCCGAGGCGAGGTGTCTCACGGCCAGGTAGCCTCCCCCCTGTCCATCGTTCGGTCGGCCTAGGCCGTAAATGGACATGGTAAGCGAGTGCCCCCAATTGACGATTCTGTTTTCGAGTGACCACCATCCCTCCCCCGTCCTTCTTCCCTTCCATCACCCATGAACATACAATTCCCACAATTTGTTCAGCTGGCACTAGCATCTCCCGTCCCGCCAATGATCTCCGTCCAGGGCACCCGTTTCTAACCTTGTCATCAACCCGACCCATCGGTTCCATGAAACATCCACCTGCAGGTGCATTTCCCCCCCCCCCATCCCTCCAACCGTCGTCCGTCCCAGTCCCAATGCTGGCCCGGAGGGTGGGGCGTCATCCATGGATGATGCCGCGAACCCTGTGTGTTTGGAATCTTCTGCCTTCTTGCGGTTACCGTGATTCGCAGTTCTACAGAACCCCGGTTACCAAATAGCCATCCCATCCACCTGTGTTCCTTATTCTCAATTTTCCTCTGACCTTGCCCTTGCCGATACTCGTGATATTTCCTCCGGCCCCTGAGCCCCGTTCTCATCGTGATTTGCACCCACACCGCCGCCCAATGTTTGCCTCTCTGCATCCACGATCTGCCGGGGCTACTTTCGGCACGAAGACTCTCCGTGACCAATTGCCTCCTGCGATATCCCACATCATGTATGTGTGTCTAAGATGGGTAGGAGTATCGATAGTTGAAACTCCATCGAGTGCTCCTCGACCCGCTCGTGCGGCTGGCTGGATCCAAGGATGTTTCCCTGGACCAAGGCAGTATGGGCCACCAGGTCGGGACACGCCAGAAAACGAAATGAATGACTCTGGTACCACGAAAGACAAGGGGTCATTTCTTGTGGCCAGACGGCTAGCCGGCCAGCCAGCCAGCCAGCCACAACGCATACCCATGGAACCGAGAGGTCTCAGCCCGTCCGTACGGCTGGATGCGGATGCGGCTGTCAACGGTCGCCGACATGGAAGAACGTTGAGCATCTGACTAGCCTCTCGAGATGTACACGTTGCTGAATACCGGCTCGTGAGCAGCCGTTCGGCCTCGTCTGTAACCATCACTCTCGTGCAGTCTTAATCATAGCATAATGTTCACATGGCTTCATTACGCTGAAGTCTCCACCAGTCGACAGGGCGTCCATCCGAGTGATGTAACTGATTTGCTCTTCCTTTTCCTTCTCCCGTTCAGTTGATTACATTGCATTTTACATATCAGAGTTGATAGTCAGAGATATAGCCGGCGCGGCATGAGAAAGCCGCATTTGACATTTGGCGGGTCAAAGTCTTTGAAGACAATACATCTCTGGACACGACGCTCTTAAAGCGCCAAAATAGACCGTTTCGCCCAGTGACTAGCCAGCCATCTAATGTGTCTGACGGTTCGCTATCAGAAGTGCGGCGGTGTTTGGCTAGATCACCTGTCCCGAAATATAACACACGCGAAGCCGCTTGTCCAGGGTGTTATCGCACAGCGTCGTGCTATAGCTCAGTAGCCGTGTACACCTTGAAAACTGTTTGTACGGAGACATTATGGGCATTAAGCACCGGATCAGCCACAGAAACGGGCCAACGGACGCTGCCAGATGTTCTGCAGAAGCTAGGGAATAAGCCCGTCTGATTCGCCATATCGTAGCATCTACAGCTCCTGAAACAATGGCTTGCCGAGCGACAACGGGACCAACCCATGCGCATGAACTCGTCCTTGACGCCCTCCCTCGCCTCAATGTGAAAAATCATGAATTCATGCCGTGGCCCATGCGACTGTTGAAATCAGTACCACATGTAGATGTCTACCTTCCCTAGCCCGTTAGCCATGTCCCCTACCGAGGTATACGCAAGAAATTCCATGATATCGTCGTAATCCGCAATATATATTACAGCGTTGCGATGCCATCGGCAATGCTCTTGTTCTAGGGTCGATTTCTTCGTTCAGACTCCCCAGAAAGACACAATGCAATGTTAAGTACAGTTTTGCCCCATCGAAGATGATATCTAACTAAGTACGGATGATCCCTTTGCCGTACACTAAGATACTGCATCCGTTCAGAAGAAGGAATCCTTACCCGTCCCACGTTTGTGGCTACCACTGAACCGTACTACACAGCTGTGATTCAATAGCGGCGCGCCGCTGCCTCGGGGTAGAGTCACAACTCATGCACTCAACTCAGCTGCCCCCATGTTGCACTAGAGCAACTTCCTCTTCCACTCCGCCAAGCCGGCCTGTAACGCTATCGACAGCGTGGGTCGACTAATGGGTACGTGTGTGGCGTTCAAGTATATTCGCAGCGGCCGTTGTGGGGGAACGTATGTGACTGATGAAAGTGGCATGCGTAAAAACTTGCCAAAACTTGCCATTGGCTGGCATACGATGGATGCTTCAATTGGCGTGGCATAACCCATAACCTGACATGCGACGACAAATCGTAGTTAACCGGCTGAGACGGGCCGTGAAAATATCAGAAGCAATTGGGCGCCTGTTCATTAGTCTCAAGCCCATAAGCCCCTGACCCCGAATGTCTTGGTAAACCGAAGCACATCTTAAGCCGAGTATTTGATCAAAAAAGTATCATAGACGGTTGACCTCAAGGAAAGAGCAACGGAAGCCATTCAACGGACATGGATCGCAAGGACCTCACATCTCACGACAAGGAGGAAAGAGGCCCCGGGTATTACTATGTACACCATGGCTCGCAAGCGGCGCGCCTCCTGATAACGCCTTAGACCGTTGGACCTAACGGGGGGCTACCCATCGGTCCAGTCAAATGACCAAGAAAAAGGAGAAAAAAAAAAAAAAAAAGGAAGAAGAAAGAGAACCTGTCCAAAGCTCTGATGCTCTAGACGGTTGCCTATGCCTATGATAATAACCCAACTCCGTCGCGGCTGTCGTTTGGATGAGCAGTGATCAAAACTCTAAGCGAGGTGTGAACAACACTCACAACCGCATGCATGACATACATATTCGTCCCGAAGTCTAATTTGAACCAAACATAGGCAAGCCAGCTTTTCTGGCCGAGCAAATGACGAAACCATGGGCGCAAAAGGAAACAGAAACCCAACGAGCTGGATCTAGTAGCGGTTGGCAAGCCCTGACCATCAGGTGCTGTTCACGAGCCCTTCGTAATAGCAGCGACCGGTGTGCCCGAGCAGTTTGCCGCATTTTCCTAACAATGCCGCCTTCTACAGGTAAATATCACCGGCTTCACCAGCAACCCAGCGTCTCCACGCTTCATCGTAAGCGCGCTCCAGGTCGGCTACCCATCGCCTGGTGTTGAAAAGGGCGCAAGTCCATTTGCTGTCCCACAGCAGCTTGCGTAATGTTGCTAGTCGACCGCTTCCCTCGCCATAACCTCCAGGGACAACCTGATACGAGAGGCCGTTGGCTAGTTTGATTGCGAACGCCTCGTATTCTTCCTCACTGCTGGCAATGAGGTCGTTCGCTGCCTCCAGTCCCGAAGGACTTCTCGGCAAAGCACCCTTCAGAATAGAGGCGGCCATCCGAGAACACATCTTGTAGGGATACCGAGGGAGGGTCAGGAGTGGAGAGCTGGACCATAAAACGTCCGCTGCCGTCGTGTGAGCATTACATTCCGGCGTGTCGAGAAACAAATCACAAACACGGGCCCGCGAAATATGTTGATTCTTGGGCGCCACGTCTGTAAAGATGATGCGGCTGGCGACCTCATCGCCGGCCCAAGCTTTTGCTGTTCTCCGTAGGTTGGTCTCGCCTAGTTCAGGAAACCGAAGCAACCAAAGAATCGCTTTGGGCACCTGGGAAAGGATCCGCAGCCACGTCCGAAAGGTAGTAGGATCAATCTTGAAGAAGCTGTCAGCCATGTCTCTCATCAGTCTTCAGAGTTTCCATCATTTAAGCTTACCTTATACAGCTGGTTGAAATTCCCTAAAATGATTGCATCGTCGGGCAAATTTGGGAACAACTCTTTGCGCATCTTCCATCTCCGGCGTTGCTCATCCTCCCATGAGACCTTGTGCTCGTCTGGATCACTCGACTGCGCATGGTCGCAGCAAAAGAAAGTATCTCTACAGAAGATAATGTTCTCTGAGTAAACCCAGTCACCTACTTCTTCTTCTGTGTTGTCTCTGAACACGTCATGGATGGTCAAGTTTCCACGCCAGGGGCGTAACGTGTCCAGGGGAATTGCAGTGGTGTCTGCGAGGAGATAATCGCACCACTCAGCGCCCAGTGTACCAGCGAAGCCCATGAAAGACATTTGAATTGGGGCTGGTCTTGCAGCGAATATCTCATTCCGAGCGCCCCTCGTGTATCCATTAAGATTCACAAGGATGTGAATCTCATCTCGGACTATTTGCTCCACGAGCCTGTCTGAAGACCAATTGCTCGCGTCCCTGAAGACTGGCGCTTCTCGTTCGATCTGTAAACGATGCACTGATTTGTCACTTGCTGTGGTAGCATAGCAAAATGCCTTTACCCGGTTCCTGTCATGGAAGCCGAAGACAGACTGCATTCTAAACATGATACATCAGTCAACCGTTGCGTTTCATAACCCGGTGATGTTGAGAGACTTACAAGTGCGCCAGAGGATGGTTGTTGAAGTCCGACGACACGTAACCAACATTAAGATGCGGCGAAGGAGGTCGAGGTGGCGGGTACACGGTGTTTGGCAGCCATGGTGATCGTAGTGTTGAGCATGAGATCCTGAAGGCATTGCGCTGTGATATCATGCGAATGTCTTTCGCTGTCAAGGGGCACGTAAAGGTATGGAAAGGTAGGACAGTAGGAGCCGAGGGCACGGTCAAGTTGGCTGGCAAGCGCGGTCGCTCATACTTGGAACCGTTGACTACACCTCGAACGTATTTGTCACAGTACCATCGTCGCATGGAAGCCCGCGTGGCTCGCTCCACCAGCCTCAACACCCGAGATCCTTCCCATGGGCTTTTTGTCCATGTTCGAAGTTTTCCCGCCAAATCAGGTGAGGTATCCTTCAAGTCGGGGTCGATCGATTGAAGCTGTACAGCGAGAGGAAGTATATCGCTTTCGCATAGCGCCCCTGAACCCCACGTCGATGCGTCCTCGAGCTGACGGGCCACAATGTCGATGACCTTCTTGGTAAGACCAGTAAATCGACCTTGTAGGCGTGCGTCCACCAACATGCCGTCATCGTCGACGTGCCAGCGGTCGAAGTCGCCTCCTTGAACGAGCGCGCCCCCTCGGCCTCTCCAGTCACAAACTGAATTGAGGGCGGTGGAGAGCCCACACACAGCTTCAGCAAACTCGGGATTGGAGTTAACAGCTCGCTTATAGTATGTAATAGCGTCGTTGACGCGTCCGCGGTCCTTCACGGCGTTTGCGAGGTTCGTCAAGGCGATATCGAAGTTGCCATCACACTGAACAGCTTGCTCGTACATCTGAATAGCCAGATCAAGCTGGCCAATGTCCTTCAGAAGGCTTCCGAGATTCGTATGCAGATGGACATGTTTCGGATCCAGTAGCAGGCCGTAGTTGTAGTAAGCGAGAGCCAGGGCTAGTCCACTGCCAGGGGGGATGCCGGGAATGTTGGGTTGCGTCGATAGAGTTCCAGGTGACATGGCTGCGGCAGGCTGCTGAACGCTCGCAAGAAGGATTCCGACGTTGTTGGCCGTCGAGGGGCTCTCTTGGAGAGATAAGGATAGATAGTAGAGCGCTAGAATGTCACCAACACCAGTAGGTTTCCGCATTAGTCCATTAGACGAAGTGCCGGATGACATGGCATCCTGAAAGATCTTGGCGAGGGAGAGGAGCGAGTTGCTTGTGGTTTGGACGGCTGCCCTTTTCGGACCACCGTCTGGCACAAATCGAAGCCCCGGAAGTTCGCCGTTTCCAGAGAATACCAATTTTGCAGTACATCTCGCCTTTTCAGGAGGTAGCAGCAATGGTCGTACAGGGGTCGCCGTTCCAGATACATTCCGTAGTCCACTACCGGGAGAAAGTACCTGCTGGATTTGCCGCACAAGTGTCTGAATTGAGGATGTGCGCCTTCCCGTGCTGATTAGGACTGCTTCTTCGAAGGCTTTGGATGCCCCCGGAATGTCCTTCATGCTATACAACATTGTCCCCTTGGCGTGGACAAGGGCGAGAATACGACCGTTCTCACTCCCTGGAATCGCGTATCCGCTTGAGCCAAAGCCGGGCTGCGGGAGATTCTCATCTAAGACAGCTGCAAGTGACGTAGCGGCAGCGGACCCGACAGACTCGGACTGGCTTGTTGGAAGCTGTAGAGCCTTCTGGACGAAACTGATGACTTCGACGGCGTCAAGGCTCTTCTTCTTGTAGAGAAGGCCGACCAGATGCTCAACTGCCTCCAAATACTGCGGTCTAGCTTTGATAGCCTTCAGCCAGTATTCCTCAGCCTCCTCCTGTCGATTCAGACAATAGAGTGTGGCCGCCAAGTTCGAGATCGCTTCCACGTGGCTACGATAAAGAAGTTAGCGAAACGGCGTTCACGCATATGTAGTCGGCCGTGATGATTTTGCAGGGAGTTGACTTACTCGGAGTCCAGGGAAATGATCCGATCAAACCATTCCATGGCCTCTTCAAAGTGTTCCAGGCCATAGTGAAGACATCCTCCGAGCAAGACGCCGTCAATCCATTTCCATCCGCTTTGCTCGCACAAGTGAGTGAGTATTTCTAACGAACTTTTCGCATTCGCAAGTGGCGAGTTTCGCCCGAACTGGCTGGGGAAAAGCTGACCAGGTGGGTTTGTGACGGGAAACATGTTCTCTCTCAAATCCGGCTGGTTGCCATCCCATATATTAGCACGTGAAGGGAGTTGTGTCTCGCTCCCAGATGGCTCGAGGAACAAGCCACTCGGGTTAGCTTTTATTTGTGCTTTGTGCGATGCGAGTATGTCTCTCTGGTAAAAAGAGATCGGGGCTGTTGTAGCTGCTGGTTGCTTCGGGGGTTTGGGGTACACAACCATCCTCGACATCGTGCTCAGCGCTGATCCGGGACGCAGTTGCTGCGTCTTGCGACCATGGTGAAGATATGTAAGCAAATCGACATAGCTCCGATGAGCTTGAGCGAGCGCCTTTTCCCTGAAGCCACATGGGGATGCTTCGGCCTCACTTTCCAGACCAATGACGCCGCCAACGTTGGACTCTAATGCCAAAGCTTCCAGATTGAACTGTGCGGGCTGAAGAAAGCCTGGTCCGTACGCGTTGCGCACATAAGCATGCGGCGGAGTGAAGTGGGCGGACGGACGAAGAAATGGGTTCGAGAGCTGACATAATCGGTAGTCATACGTGGATGGAGATGGCGTGTGGAAGGAAGGTGGGCCAACGTAGCTGGGTTGCTGAGGCGGAGGAAACCAAGGGTTCGCCGACTGGAGAAGCCCCGGGACAAAACTTGGAGTGGCATGGTCCGTAGGAAGGGCTGCAGGAAAGAAAGGGTTGGCATTGTACGCGGTCGACCGAGGACGCGATAGCGCAGCAGACCCAAGAATCTGGGACGTGTCGGGAGAATTAAACCTATATTGTAACGTGCCTGGGGTATGAGAACTCGCAGAACATACGCCTGGCAAAGACTGAGCCGACATGTCCAATCCCAGGGCCCATGATTGGTATGCGTTCACGCTCTCGGCAGCTGCGTCATGGATCACGGGCACGGAAACGCGAGGTTGTGTGCCCGGAATCAGTCTGCAGCGGAGGTTTGGATCCGTGACGGTGACTGGGCGAAGGTGATTTGCGGCGTAGGCAGTAGGCGCGGCTGGGAGTATCATCTGTTTCAGGGGCGGAGGACCCGAAGCTAGATGTACAGCAGAGCCATCGTAACCCGCATCGATTGTGCCATTCGGTGTCTTGCGTCGCAAATGATGTTCTGATCGATCGGGGAAATGTGACACTTCGGCCACATTTGCAACCCCACGTTGCCGATGAAGCTGCTGTTGATGTGAGGTGCGAATGGGGAAAGATCTCGGGATCTTGCCATCGGGAAACGGGACGTTCGGAGATTCGGCAGGCGGGCCGCTCAGAGGCTGATCAAAGGTATACGCTTGCTGATGAGGAAAGGGCAGGTGATTCTGTTGTACGTGCAGGTGATCCTGTTGCTGCTGGAACGTCGGAAGAGGGTCGAAATTCGGTGGCGGCTGCACCATGTGGTGCATCTGGACTAGAGGCAACATGAGAGAGACGATAGCTCAGGGGAGAATGCGGCCCAGGAGCAGGCACAGAGGCTATGCGATGCTAGTAATAGGATAGTAAGAGGTTGAGGCAAGGCGAAGAGGAAGCTGGAAGCCGCGATTCGGGAACCTATTGTCATTGCCCGCTGGTTAAAGCATGGCTGACGGGCCCGTTGACGGGCATGGCATCTGGGCTGCCTTGGCTGAATGAAGATGCCAACCAGACACCAGTGCCGTCAGCGACTCTGACCTGGGCCGAAGAAGAGGCCGTCGAGTCGGACTCGAAGCGCAGCGAAAGTGGCTGCGGTAGCGACTTGAGCAAGCTTCGTGGTTTGTGGGATATCGTGATGGCACCAGAAATACCAGATCGGTGCGGTCGATGTTCTAGATGGTTGAACTGGGCGTGGATGGAGGGTGGATTTGGAGGTCGGATCCGCAGAAACGAGGGACGGGCAGCGACGGCGGCGCCAGCGGTTGCGGTTGCGGTGGCGGCGGCGGCGGCGGCGGATGGTGGCGGAATGTCAAAATGACAAGCGGATGGTTGAGTGTAAAAGCAGAGTGAGGTGGAATAAAAAGTGAATGTGAAGTAGTTAGGCAGGGGACGAAGGCGCAAGGGCACTAGCGTCAAGTTCCAGCGCGGTGGTGGTGGTAGTGGTGGTGGTGTTGGTGTGTGTGGTTTTGCCTCTATTGTTGTTGTTGTCGTCGTCGGGTTGTACTACTGCCTGCTCTGCCTCTCTCTTAGGTGCTATGGAGGCCCGACACAACCAAGAAAAGCACACCGGATAAAGCAGTTGAGCCCAGGCCAACGCAGGTGGGATTTATTTGAGCAGTCACTCCTCCAGACCATCCATCCATCGAGGTGTTGTTCGTTCCGATGGGACTCGATTTGCCCAAGGCCTTGGCCAAGCAGCCAACCCAGTCAAGGACCCAGATACCCTAGTCACCTACGTGCTTATCTACTTGCAGCATACCCTGCCACTGATTGCACCATAACCTCACTGTGGGTGAGAGGGAGGGGTGCTGGGGATTTCGCATTGAAAGCTATGAAGACGTAGTAGGTCTTTAGGGAGACGAACATATCCATGTGATGTACAGTTGTTCAACGTCACTACTATTTTTGCTTCTTGTTTTTGAACGAAAAGGGTTTTCTAACTGGGTGACTAGATACGAGGAATGTTCGAGCATCTCAGAGTTCAGGGGACCGCAAAAAGTGTGCCGTGCCGCAGCCTTCGGGGTAGCCACTGGTGTGCGGCTTTAGTGAAGGCTCCCTGGTAAGCGCCTGCGTGGGCTCGATGAGACTCAGATGCCTGCTCATTTCCTTCCAGCAACCGACAGGCCTCCTCACCTCAGACGAACAGGACGGCCTGAGCAGACAAAATGGCACCCACGAGATCGCGTAGATTAGTCCGAAGAGCAAATGCCTCTGGACACATAACTCAGCATGCTCCGCGCGCAGCTCAGGACATGCCAACGTGCGTGCGAAGTCGAAGGATAGGGGCCATGTTCTTTTTAAACGCCGACCGTTGGGGTGACGAACCTGGATCCATGCATTAGTGCCAAACACCAAACACCATTCCTTCCCGCCGCCTGCGCTGCCTTGTCTCGCAGCCTGACAACCTGTCCTGGTCCTAGCCGTCCGGACAGTCTGTGTGTCGCGTTGCTTCCATGGTCTACAGCCATTCTAGACGTCTGACGGACGGTACAAACACAGGCGAAACCGAGCGCATTGCGCCGCTCATGCGACCGTCCCGTGACGTACTGCTTACGTTACACCGAACAGACATAGCCCTGGAGCAGTCCCGGGCGCAGGGCTGAGCCGTCGGACGCCCAGAAAATGGAAGAGTTATTAGAAGTACCAGGCGATCGAACATGGGCTTTAGGACCTTTGCACAGAAGCAGGGTCAGTAGGGCGTGATGGGCATGCCTATCAATCTCGAGGGTGCAATGGCTGATCGTCACCATTAGTACTCAATGTCACTTCAGAGTCATTAGCACAACGATAATCCAAGCATGTGAGCCGCGTTGGTGGACCTCGACTTCCATGGTGTAGTGGGATGTCGCGGTGAGTATTGGGATCTGCTTCCGAAAAAGCGTATCATCTTCCTTGAAACCAAAATTGAAATAGACCATGGGAGAGCGTGGAATATTTCAGAGTGTAGTCAAGGGTGTTGGGTGGGTGGCGGGTAGGCGCAAATTGGCCACGCCGCAGGCCCGCTGCGACGGATATTGGGAGACTCAACAACACATCATCTCGGGTGAAAATCGTCTGCGGCAAGCATCGGTTGGTCATTTGATCATTTTTTGGCAAATTTCTTTGATTGCCAGAGAGTGTCCCTTTTGGGTAGTCCCCTTAATGCAGAACCATTCCTAAACTCCAGAAGTCATGCGAGTAACCGTCAAGCTGTTGACCTCGTTTACTCCTCAGGGACTGCAAGACGTCGTCAGCGTGTTGAGCGGCCAGGCTGCGCTGCACCGGGCGGGCGGCGGAGTCGCGGTTCGTGGGGTGCACTTACTGTCGATCTCGCCAGACTGGATGGCATCGATAATGGCCTGAGGGGGCTTGCCGTCGACCTGGCATCCGACGCTGTATGCCGTACCCAGGATCTCCTTGACAGTGCCCGCCAGGTCCTTCGAGAAGGACTTGTAGCGCATGGTTCGCGCAATCTCGATGATCTCGTCGAGGGCGACGGACTTGCTGTGCTTGATGTTCTTCTCCTTCTTGCGGTCGCGGGGGGGCTCCTTGAGGGCGCGGATGATGAGGGAGGAGGCGGTAGGGACGACGGAGACGGCGGCTTGACGGTTTTGGATGGTGAGCTTCACCGTGACGCGGAGACCCTTCTGTAATTGAAGCTGTGAGCGCTGCTCTCTCCACGACCCTGTCCCGCGAGGAGGAGGGGGAGGGGGAGGGGGGTTTGTTCATACCCAGTCGCCAGTGGCCTTCGCAATGTCCTCACCGACCTTCTTGGGAGACAGACCGAGGGGACCAATCTTGGGGGCCAGGGCGGAGGAGGCGCCAACCTCACCTCCGGTGGCACGGAGGTGACTGCATTCGCAAACACGACGTTAGTGACAGATTCCCTTCGATTCGGATCGAGCAAGCAACGGCGGCGCGACGAACATGACCTTGACCTCATTGGGATCGAACTTGGGAGCTGCACGGCAATGTCATAATTAGTATTTCAACGTCCACAGACATGCTGAATCTTGGGTAGGCTTACGCATCTTGACTGCTCTCGGATCTGGGTCTGGTGGGAAAGTTGGTGATCGAAGGAAGATTGAGACGCTTTGAGAGGGTCAAGGAAATTTTGCAGATGTGTGCGCCGTCTCCGCAGCCCTAGATGGCAGTCCAGAGCACAGCCACATCAACTGTGGCTGCCATCCTAGTAACAAGAAAATTTGGCGAGAACTTTTTGAGTCTTAGCCAATTGCAAGGGAGCATTTTGCTGCCGTCACGTGATTCTCTACCAATTAGGTCCCCTCATGCTGATCTTTTTTTTTTTCTTTTTTTTCTGACCTTCTTCTTTCTGCGCGGTTTAGGCTCATTTCAGCAGTCGCTTAAACACTTCTGCCACTAGCCACCAGCCACAAGTGCGGTCATTGAAGTGTGCCTTCTTCGAAGCTGGAGGAGGCGGGGCAGTCTTCTTCAGTGCTCGTCCGCATCGGTATCCTGGATAGCTCTTATAGCACTCTAGGTTCTAGTTCAATTTGCCTTTGGCTTTTCCTGATCACCATGCTGCAATCAGACAAGAGTCACTTATATGGGTTCTCCTAAACTTGTGGTATTGCGTCTACTAGAAGATCATCCCGCAAACTTTGTTGACAGCCGTCTGCTGGCATGGGCATCATGCATGATTCATGATGGGTAGTATATCCCGCCTATGAAAACCGCTCTGGCCAAAACATGCCAATCTAGACCTGCTGTCAAACTGGTATCGTTGTCCACGACGCGCTTCCGCCGCTTCCCATCAACTTCGACAATACTGGCGGCGCGCTCACCTGCGTCTATTGCACATGCGGCACCCTCAGTTTGTGCCGCTCACAGCCAACCTGCAAGAACATAAACGTTAGTTACCAGTTCGCCGACCAAGCCATCCACAACAAGACTTACTTCATCAAGTGATCCATGAAGGTTTGGAGAGATACGTCGTCGGTGAAAATGGTTTGCGCGTTCTGCGCCCCAACGCCGCCATAGGCACCAGTCGTGTGGGTTGTCGAGGGGTTCAATTTTGAGAGCAGGAATCTATGGCCCGTCAGTTGCAATTCGCAAGAACCCCCGCAGCAGTGACCAACCTTGCTTGCGAACCGCCTTGGTTGCAGACGATAAATCTTGGTAATGGGAATCTGTCGGTGATGAGGTCCTGTACCTAGTCAGCCTAGCGACAACAGAAGGACTCTCAGCAAAGAGACATACCCTTGCGTCTTCCTTGGGCTGTTCAAGCAACGCAGCAAAATTCTCATAGCCCTCTTGTTCTTGATAGCCCGCCTTCATCCACTCCGCAATTGTCTCACCGTGGAAGATGAGGATGTGAAAGAAGGTATCTAGCAGGAGAATATGAGTGGGTTGGATGGAGGAGCTGTCGAGGAGAACCGGCGATGCCTCCGCCTGGTCAAAAGTATAAGAGTCCAGCGTGGGCTGGATCATAATGAGCGAGTTGCTCACATCCTCATGGTTGAGAACATGTCGGTAGAATGCCGTTTCGTCGGGCGAGTTGTTGAACACCTGGAGGAACTGACTTCTTCTCAGGTGAAACATGAATTGCGGGTATAGAGTAAAGTTCTTCTCCAAGCGGAATGAAGAAGGATCATCTTTGCGATAGTCTGCAAAACGGGAGCAGAGTCTGATGAGCATCCTGTCAACCCATCGCAGAACATCAGGCCCGTCGTCAACTTCTGCCTTGAATACGGCGATCCGGGCCATGAGAACAGCCGCGGCTTCCTGGTCGAACGACTGAGCGATTGCTGGATCTCCTGCTGGCCCGCTAAGGTTCCTCGCAATCGTCGTCACTCTTAGGTGGAACTGGCCCGACGAATGCTGATAGTATGTGAGAAATTGCATCATACCCTTTTGCGGCGTTTGTTGATGCTGTGCTGGACCCCCTTGGCCGGCTATTTCGAAGTAGACGCCATAGCTAGAGCCAGGATCAATACCACACATCTTCCATGAGCATGTGTTGCCGATGCCACATTCAGTCTCGCCCACCGAAGTAGACTTCTTGTTGAGCGAGATGGCATGTCCGATCAATCCCGTGACCTTCAATTCCTTGGTTGTCAACACTTCAAGCGTCGCGTTGAAGCCCATGAGCAAATTATCGTCGCCATCCTTTTCGAACATGCGAATGAACGACTGCTTGAACATTGAGCTTGTGAAGCTGTCAGTTAAAACCATGCTGCCGCCAGTCTGCTGGCAAACTGACGTGATACATTAGCACACACTGCGTTGTAATAAACATCAACGAATGACTCGAGACTTACGACCCTTCATCTCAAGCAGGCCGACTTGATCCAAGCAGCCGGCAAATATGTCGATGACGTGCCCATTGTGAGCTGTTCTCTTAGCCATATTGTCGTAAAACTTTAATGCCTTTTTGTAGTACTTGATGTTATCTCGATCGATGTCGTGGTGTGACCGCATGGGTTCACGTAGCTCGGGGCCGACGACCATACCAGGCCCTTCCGTGGCGGGGCCACCGGCAAAAAGCATGATGCGACCGCCAGCATGTTGGAAGGAGGATTCAAGAAGGCCGACTGCCACGCTCAGAGCAACACCGGTGCATCGTAGATTTCTGCGATCGTTCGCAACAGGCCAGGGGTCCTTCTGAAGCTGCTCCAGAGCCTTTGTCAATTGGAATTCGGCCTGCTGGACGGGTAGCAGAAACCGCGATGCGGGACCTGCCGGCATAGGTCGTCCGGGCTGTTGAGGCATGCCAGGGCGCATAGCCGGAGACAGAAGACCAAGCATTTCTTGCACCTGCTTAGCGTTGTAGTCCTTGCTGCCGCGGAAGACGTAAGATTTAGCACATTCGGTGTAACCAATCTCGTGGACCTGAGCCATAGTGCCGTAGGTGATCAAGCCAACGAGAGCATTTTCAGGTAGAAGACTCAAGCTCATGACCAAGGATTCCTTCAAAGCAGCAAGACTGTCCTCCTCTTGGCATGTGTCTACAACCATCAGAAAGATGGGAGGGCTGGGAGCAGGGCGGGACAGTCGATACTCAATCGTCGTGTTAGAGGGGTGCAGCTCGGGGGGAATGGCGTTCGCGGTGATGTCCTTGTAATGCGGTGGCAGGGGGTTTCGCGAGAGGCAGAAAGGGCATATCCAGAGACGTGCGCGAACATCTACTGAGCTGCAAGATAACGGGAGAAGGTCAGCCAAGAGGTCGGGTTGAAGGCGATGGCAGCCTACCAGAAGGGATTGAGAACCGAGCGGCATGGCTGCTTGCAGGTAACAGGCTCGAATTGGAGGAGAGGGGTGTCGGGCTTCTCCTTGAGAGGTGTGTAGAGGGCTCCGATGGGCACAACGAGGCGTGATGCTTCCTATAGGTGATGGTCAGTTGACGCAAGCTTGACGACTTGGTGACTGGACTGACCATTCGCGAGCTGGGGAAGACATTCCAGCTAAGACGGACGCCGTCACGGTCCTCGACCTCACTCCATTGCTCCTTGAGAGCCTCGTAATCCATCCTTGCTTGACAGCTGTTGCGATGAAGTTGAGTGTTGCTGGTTGCGTGGCAAGAAAGTTGTGTTGTTAAAGTTGGAAACAAGCTTGCAGAACAAGATTCGCTTCAAAGGCAGAGCTTTTTCCTAAAAGATGCGGCGAAGTGGTGACTAGCGCGAGATGTGTTCTCACAGGTTTGGACACGAAAGCTGATGGCTTCTAGAGGCCACGTTCTGCGGTGCTAGACATGGAATGAGGCTTGAAAATGTGGCTTGACGGATCTGAGCCTAACAATGTGGGGCACATTTGTTGTGTCCGCACCTGGCTGAGGTACCTGTCTGAGTTAAGGTTCTTATCGACGCACGCACCCCAATCACTTTCACCTTCCATGCCACTTACCTAGGCACCTTACCTACCTTACCTTACCTTATCTATCTACCTAAGGTGCCTAGGGACCTAGGACCTCAGCGGGTACACCAGGTGCCGACCTAGGTACCTACCTAGTAGGTTTGTGGGTACGCGCTGAATAACACTAGCAGCCTCACCGAGTCACCGAAACCTCCCGTCACATTGTGTCACGTGTCGCGTCTTCACTTCCCAACCAGGGCCTTCTCAACCTTAGCTTCGTCGTTGAGGCTTCTTGCTCACTGATTACCTACAACGCTGCTTACTGTCAGCATGGCTTCAAGTGCTCCCATTACCACGTGCGTGTCATTGCACTTCGACACGTCGGGTCATTGGCTGACTTGTGCTACAGAGTCTATGTGCGAAATCTCGAGGAACGCGCCAAAATCGACCAGCTGAAAGATGCTCTGCTCCAGATCTTCTCTGAGTATGGCAACATCCTCGACATCGTAGCCAAATCGAATCTGAGAGCCAAAGGACAGGCTTTCGTGGTGTTTGATAGCCCAGAGTCTGCGCAAAAAGCTATCGACGATGTCCAGGGATTTGAACTCTTCGATAAACCTATGCAGCTTGCGCTGGCACGAACGAGGAGCGACGCGACAGTCAAGACCACCGGCAATGAGGAAGAGTTTGAGTTGCATAAGCGTCGTCGCTTGGCTGAGAAAGGTATTTTGTCTCGTCTCTGTCTTTCGCTCGGTTTATACCTCTCGGACCACCCAACTGATGACTGCGATTTTAGACAAAAAGAGGGCCTTCGAGGCCGCCGAGGAGCAGAAGCGACTGAAGAGATCAGGGCCGGCCGGCAGCGTACCAGATATGACAGGCCGACCTGCCAAAGCTGCCCGTGGCACTGGCCTCAAGTCCACCAACCCTTCTGCTACGGCCGTCGTGCCAGACGAGTACCTTCCGCCCAACAAGATTCTCTTCGTTCAGAACCTCCCTGATGACTACGATATTGAGGCTGTCACCAGCATATTCGGACGTTTCGAGGGCTTTCGGGAGGTCCGTCTGGTGCCTGGCCGTCGTGGCATAGCCTTCGTAGAGTACGACGGCGAACAGGGTGCCATTACGGCGAAGGAGAACACGGCCGGCATGGTACTGGGAGACTCGCACACAATCAAGGTCACGTATCAGCGACAGTAGTTCATACGGTCATGTTTACGTATTCTCAAGTGGCAGTGGGTATTTCGGCTTAGGGCGAAAGGGACTTATTTATCAGGGACGGCCAAATTGGCTAGCTACCTAGGCTATAATACAATCGTCGTGGCCCATCGGCATGGAGATGCTTGATGTTTAAAAGATGACATCATTGTCATCGTCAGCGGCGAGGAGGTCGGTAGGTCCTGACCTGTTATCAGCCTCCTGGTGTGCCATGGCTGCCTTCTTCGCCTTGATCTCTGCGTCTGCGGCTGCCGTGTCTCGTTGTTTCTTGTTCGCCACCTACTCTACCGTCAGTTGATGTCGATCAAGAACGTCTTATACCGAAGCGCACCTTTTTCAATCTGTAGAACTCCTCTCTGTCCAGCTCGTCCAGTTCTGAGTTGATATCTATGTCATAATTAGCTTGCCGATGGCCACCACCAACTTAGTCCGGCAGATCGTACACTTGATGGTGTTCTCTGTTCTAGGGATAATGACGTGCTCGCTGATATGGTTAGCAACGGCTATCGAATGCACGAGATAGCTGTGCGCCGCTTACATGGCATTGACTGTCTAGCGTCAGTACACGAGAAGGCACGAAATCGACCTAGATGACTTACCGCGTCTGTTGACAACCTTGATCACCTCGTCCAGAATCACAAATGCGGTCTTCGGGCGTCAGCTAAGTTGCTAAGCACACAAGAGGATGTTCCGAGGTTGCGCACCTGCAGACTAGCGAGCTCAACTAAGGCCTCTACGGCGCGAGCATACGTCTCACGGCAACGTTGAACTTGCTGGCCGCCCTTTCCAAGGCCCGTCAGGCCAAAATCATTATTACCTTCAGTGACATAGCTCTCGAAAGCTGGAAGCAGGACACCAGACACGTTCTCCTGCTTGGTGCGTAGACGGAACCTAGCAGATCTCGCCGATTCCTGAATCTGGTAGCCAATGTCACCCCCAACAGCATATGTGACTTCGGCTAAAGAAAAGGATGCAATCTGCATGACGCGACCCATCTTTCGCTTGGCCTCGTCGATGCGTCTTGTAATCTCTTAGGGTGTTGTTAGCCGGCGCAACTGAGAAAAGGGGTGAAGCGGCGAACCTCGGAATCGCCTACGATGCAGAGAATGTCAGCAATCAGTCCACGTGATAAGAAGTCATTCCGAGATATCAAAGAGGCATACTTCGTCAGAGCCTCGCTCTTCCTCTTCAGTAGACTGTGACCCGTCTCAGCACCCTTGAGTTTGGCCTTCATGATTCCCAAAGACTGGCGCGTGGGAAATACGGCCTCTCGATCCTGCACAAAAACAAACTCTCTGTCAGCCACGCAATCCGAAGAATGTACCTTTTCAGTACGGGAGTCTTTCACATACAGGAGCGCCCGACATGATGGTTGGAGCTGCGAGAAAGGAGAGCTTCGGTTGACCAGAGCGACGTAGATAAGAATGCAACGACCGTAGGACAAGGCGGCTAACAAGCGGCGTGCGACGAGAATGCAAAGAAGGGAAGACTGAGGAGGTGAATGGTAAACGCCCCGGCAAGAAAATGCGCGTCGAGTTCGGTTGTCGTTGCAGGTTGACGATTGGAAGTTCGTTGCGTCAATCCAGTGCTTCAATTGCCGTAGTTGCTCCAGCAGCTACCAACCTAAAGGTATCCTGTCTTGGATAAGGTACCTAGGTAAGGTACCTAAGGATGCCCGGGCCCCATTAGGTGCCTACCTAAGGTACCTTACGTAGGTAGGCATCTAGGTCAGGTACCTACCCAAGATAGATACCTAAAGTATAGAACGCAATATTAGGTACCTAGCCAGCTGGTAGGTGGGTTCAGGCAGGCAGGTGCCAGTTGCCTGCGAAGGTAGCTACCTATCTATCTCAAAGGGACCTACCTACCTTAGGCCGCAGCGAGCTGTGGAGCTCTTTGGCCTCGAGTTGTACCATCAATGGTAGTGTAGGCGCTAGGATCTTACGCATCAGTACTATGGATATCTCGGTTTGAGGTACCTCGGGCACCTGGGCACCTGGAGATGATGCAGATACCTCCATCTAGGTAGATGGAGGTGCTCCGTCCTCAATTGCGATAATTAGTGGGCCTGACGTCTGCGACAACACTACACTACCTTAAGGTGCAGTGAGCATGGTAGTGCGGCGCGCGCTGACTAACTACAGAGAAGTGGGTCTGGTTTCTCCAGTGTCAGTGCTTGTTGATGTCGCGAAGGACTCTTCATTATCGTTTCCTCGTCGTCAATGTTACGATACCCAATCTATTACCCGGCAGCTGGCGCCGCGATGATCCCCGAGACCTCGTCCGCATAATGGCCTCTGTCTGAATCGCATCGAAAACCCACTCGTCAATCGCTTCTTCGTTCTGCAGACGCATATGTCCCGTTTCTCCCTCCTGCTTCCCCAGCCCTCTATTGCACACGACTACTGGGCAAGCGAACAGCATCAAGATGCCGGCACATCTGCTGCCTGACGGCTCCCAAAGATGCGCAGACCTACACTTGGTTGTACGTGTAGAGTTTCGTCTTCGAGACTCCCCCGCCCCTATACTCAAATGCTAACGCCTGCTTAGAGTGACGAGGATTCTGTCTACGAACAGGATGTTCTGCGAAATCCCGGCAGCACGAAGCCATGGCTGGCCTACATACAATTCAAGACACAACATGGGACGCTTCGCGAGCGCGCCTTCGTGCTTGAGAGAGCTTGTCTTCAACTCCCTCGATCGTACAAGCTGTGGAAGATGGTATGCGCGCGTGCGCCTGAGGTTTCAACTTCCCTATCATGCTGACAAAGTCACGACAGCACCTCACCTTCCGCGTCAAACACGTCTCGAAACTGAACCCTGCAATATTCGCTGCAGAGTATCGAAAAGTAAACACGCTTTTCGAACGGGGGCTGATTCTTCTCAACAAGATGCCTCGAATATGGGAGCTTTACCTCAAGTTCTTGCTTCAGCAACCGCTGGTGACCACTACAAGAAGAACGTTTGATCGAGCTCTCCGCGCTTTGCCAATTACTCAGCACAATCGAATCTGGGCTCTATACAAGCCCTTCGCGAATTCAGCTGCGGGGATCAGTGCTGTCAAAGTTTGGCGTCGTTACATGCAGATCCATCCCGAAGACGCCGAAGACTTTATTGAGCTTCTTACACAGGTTGGCCTCTACACTGAGGCCGTGAAGAAGTACATTGATGTTCTCAATAACCTGCGCTTCACAAGCAAGCGTGGCAAGGGGCATTATGAGCTGTGGAGCGAGATGGTGGACATGATCGTGGAGCACGCGGCCGAAATAGAGACCGGGCACGAAACAGGTATTGATGTGGAAAGAATCATCAGAAGTGGTATCGTTCGATTTGCCGACCAACGAGGCAAGCTCTGGTGCGGGCTGGCAACGTATTGGATTCGACGAGGTAGCTTCGAACGTGCTCGAGACGTCTTTGAAGAGGCTGTCACGACTGTTATGACGGTCAGAGACTTCACGCTTGTCTTTGACTCGTATGCCGAGTTTGAAGAGTCAATTATCGGGGCACTCATGGAAGTTGCTTCTGATCGTGCAGACAAGGGCATCGTGGACGAAGAGGCGGACTTCGAGCTCGACATACGCATGATGCGGTTTGAGCAGCTCATGGATCGGAGACCATTTCTCCTGAACGACGTCGTTCTGCGACAAAACCCCAATAACGTTGCCGAGTGGGAGAAGAGGGTCGCACTCTGGGGTGAAAATCAGGTAGAAGCTGTGCAAACCTACACTGCCGCCATCGCGACGATACAGCCGAAGAAGGCCGTTGGGCCCTTCCATCAACTCTGGGCCAACTACGCGAAATTCTATGAGCGGGGTGGCGACATTCGCAACGCGCGCATTATCATTGAGAAGGCCGTCAAGGTACCGTTCAAGTCCGTAGCAGAACTTGCAGACATGTGGATTGAATGGGCCGAAATGGAGCTGCGGAATGAGAACTTTGACGATGCCGTCCGGATCATGGCGAAGGCAGTTCAGGCGCCAAAAAGATCGACAGTCGACTATTTTGACGAGACCTTATCGCCGCAACAACGCGTGCACAAAAGTTGGAAGCTCTGGAGTTTCTACGTGGACCTCGTGGAAAGCGTTAGTTCTCTGGAAGACACCCGCAAGGTGTATGAGCGGATATTCGAGTTGCGGATCGCGACGCCACAGACTGTGGTTAACTACGCCAACTTGCTCGAGGAGAATCAATACTACGAAGAGTCATTCAAGATTTACGAACGTGGCCTGGACCTCTTCAGCTATCCTGTGGCATTCGAGCTGTGGAATCTTTACCTTACGAAGGCCGTTGATCGTAAGATTGGCATCGAACGTCTCCGCGACCTGTTCGAACAGGCGATCGAAGACTGCCCGCCCAAGTTTGCGAAGGTAATTTACCTTATGTACGGCAACTTGGAAGAGGAAAGAGGTCTTGCTCGACACGCCATGCGTATCTACGAACGCGCCACCCGCGCGGTAGCCGATGAGGACCGGGCAGACATGTTCAACTTCTATATTACCAAGTCGGCGTCCAATTTTGGACTGCCGTCAACAAGACCCATTTACGAAAAGGCCATCTCTACTCTGCCTGATAACGAAGCACGGGATATGTGTCTCAAGTTTGCCGACATGGAGAAGCGCCTTGGCGAAATTGATCGGGCGCGGGCTATTTATGGCCACGCTTCACAGTTTTGCGACCCACGTACCAGTCCAGACTTTTGGGCCAAATGGGAAGCGTTTGAAGTGCAACATGGCAACGAGGATACGTTCAAAGAGATGCTTCGGATCAAGCGGAGTGTGCAGGCGCAGTACAACACCGACGTCAACTTCATCGCATCGCAAGCGCTTGCTCGTAGCCAGCGACAGCCGGACGTCGACTCGGCAGACCCAGAAGTGACGGATGCCATGGCCGCACTCGAGAGACAGGCGAGAGCACCAGCCGGTTTCGTGGCAGCAAGCGACACCCAAAAAGTCGGCGCAACAGACACCACACTTGTTGCTGCCAACCCAGACGCAATTGATATTGACGACATTGACGAATAACACATCAATTTCTTGCCCTTTTGTAGTTGGGCAATACACTGGCGATGGTTGGCTACGTGTAGCAATTTTTATACAGGCAGACTCAGAACAGGCACACCCAAAACATTATCTCTGATCCGGTGTCGCCAATTCAATTCTTTCCTTGTCGATTCGTACACAGCGTGATAAATTCTGATGTGCAGACTTTAGTGTAAGACGTTTACTTCCCAAGGGTGTCGAAGGCAAATTATTTAGCAGGGGTCTTGCCGTAGCCCTTCTCGGTGTGCTTCTCATGGAAGCCTGTCGCATAATTCCTGTCGACATGGCCATCGCGAGAGCCGGGGGTGGCATAAATGGAGCCTTTGCGCTTTTGAAAGCGACTCGGCGGCACCTTCGAAGCGTCTGATCCAGGTTACCGGTGAGTACTGCGGATCGTCTCGGGACGCGGCTTCGCACACTTACCCCATTCATCAGTGCTGGCCCTTCGATCTACAGGCGACGAAGAGAGGGCCGGTGCGGCTTCTCCGTTGAGAGCGACCGGCGACGTTTGAGTCTCGATGGGGATGGCATCGGTGCGGCTTTGATCGTCTATACCGATACGAATCAGCACGTGCTATAGGTAAACGAGCCGGCATCGTGTGGAGAGCTTACTAGACATTGTAAGATGGGCACGGAACGTTGCAGTGCTCGACTTTGGAACCGGTGGCAGATACGGACAAACGGCAAAAGCGTCTGAGTTGATTTGAGTGACTGCTAGGACTGTATTCTAGGTGTTTGTTATGCGGGGTTTAGAATAATGGAGGTTGAGTAGGTAGGGATGGTTGTTGCATACGTCAGACGGTGCAATGAGTAGATTAGCTTGGAGGTAAGTTGGGCAAACTGGCGGGAATGAGGGGGTGGCCGTGTTTATGAAGGAGACGGGGTAGTACGTTGAAGCATCTTCCCATACGCACCAGCAGACTCCCACTGCTCGAAGAACGAAGGTGAGGTAGGGTTGCTTGGTGAGTCTAATACCACTGGACAAGAGAAGGACCTACGAGCTGGTCTGGCCTACTATGCCAACGTGAGGTCAGCGACACTAAGTGCTTGTACCGGAAAGTATGGCGTGCGGAGTATTGGGGAAGGTATCTGCCAATAACCTCCCACACGAATGGGCGAAGCATGGATTGTCCTCTCATCGACGTGTGCAATTGGATCGAGTTCTCTTAGGCCAGCCAGCTTCCGTGGACAAGCCCACATACTAGGGGGCAATCCCTTTCTGAGGGTATCTATATGAGCGACTACGAGACGGAGGGGCAAAAAGCGATGCACACATGAGGGATCTAAGTCGACTTCACTGTCTCTGCAAGACATCTGCTCCTTTGGAGAAACGCTCATCGTCTCTTGGCACTTTAGCTTGTCGACATGCTATGCCGGATTCCGTAAGAGGGCGCTGTCGCATGCCTCTCTTATTGGCGGTGGACTTCGGGCTTGGTGTGTATGTGCATGCTGGGAGGCCCTTCCCTGCACATAATCAAACTTTCGCGGGGAAGGTGACGAGGATCTGCGGCTGCCATTGACGTCACGCGTCATCCGTTCGACTGGAAAAAATACTCGCCTCAAGTTACTCGGCCCCTTATACCAGTCTGCGGCCGCACCACTCTATGCTTCCAGGGTCGTTTATAGTCAAGATGAACTCATCATGAGGGTGTCATTCACAAGGTCGCTTGAGATGAACAGGGGGGCCAAACGGGCAGAATCATTGCGGTAAACTGCAGCCACGTTACCGGTCACCCTGGATCGTCAAGCCAGTCAAGATGCATCATGGACTTTCAAGTATGAGCACAGCAGTCAGAGAATGGAATTGTGTACTGTCGACGACTAGACGCAGTCAAGCCACCTCCAAACACGGTTTGATAGGCATCAACATCACTATCAGATCAGCACCTTCGCCATCGCCAATCCTTCCCGCCTCCGCGTCTTTCCTTGCACTAAGCCCCGCGACAACCTCATATTCCATCCGAGAAAAACCGCTTTAAATCTCCTCACCGTCGGCGCGAAGCTCGGCCAAGTAGGCAGGATCATCCTCGGGGGCAGCAGCAGCCAACTGAGCGCGCTTGACCATCTTGGCAAGAAGATCCTCACTTCTCTTCATGGCAAGCATCAGGTTGCGGCGAGCGGCGGCCGGTGTAGTAGTGCCAGCCATCTGAACGGGAACCACACCACCGAAGGGCCCAGCACGTGCGGCATTCTGGCAGCGTACCAGGCAGACATTAGACTGGCCGGCGACAGTGCCGGTACAGGTCTGATCAGCCGGGATAGCAGCCTTAAGTGGGAAGTCGGTCATGGCACCGTCACGGTTGCGGGAGTTCTGGCCAGGCGGGGTAGTGACAACGTTGATATTAGTCCACTGTGCACCGGTGGCATCGGCGTTGATCATGCAGTCGTAGGGGCCTGGGCACTTGTCAATCGACTGTCAAGCAACCGAGTTATAGATTTCTACTGCTTACCACCGCCATCACCGTTGACCTGGTGAAGAGTCATGTCAATGGAGCCGCCAGCGCTGACCTGGGGAAGCATCTGGCCGGTCTCAGCCATGATAGCCTTGGTGCCCGTCTCGAGGTTATTGGTGCCTCCACCGACAGTCTCACCGAAGGTATCGGCGGCGTCGCCCTTGAAGCGGGTGCTGTCCTGCTGGAAGGGGTTGCGGCGGGTACCATCACGGGGAGTACTGGAGTCGATGCCGATAGCCATACCCTGACCACCAGCATCGCCAGTGGCACCGACGATTGCGGCGTGTCCGGCAACAAGGTCGGCGGTAGCCAGAAGGCCGACAGCCAAGATGCTCTTCATGTAAGACATGTTGCTTGTGATAGAGAAGGTAAGTCCTGACCGGCAGGGGGAAATTATACAATACAAGAAAGATTGAAAGGAGAGAAGGACACCTGGAAAAAGACTGCTGATTGCTTGATGAAGACAGGAATGGTATACGGGAACTGGAGCGGGACGTTGTCTCATCTTTATAGGAAGATTCCGTCGCAGGGTCAAAGCAACTTCACGATGACTGATGTCGGGATGACACGCTATGCCTCTCCCCTATCCATCTATTCCATCTTGGTGTGATTTCCATGATGCCTGGCGCGGTTGACTAGATGTCCATCAGACGTCCCAAACTGCCAAGCCAAACATGTTTTTTTTCCTTTTACGAGAGAACCCCGATGCGACTAGGAGTGCGGAAGTGTTCAGGACCAGGCGCGCGAGAAGCGCTGATGCCTTGGAATGAAAACTGCCGAGTAGCAAGTTGTGGCGAAGCTGTAAGAGCAGAGCCTCATGCGAGCCTCGGGCCAGGGTGTGAGAGACGGGTTGGTTGACGACGAGGGTGGTATCAAGGTTCCGGAGTTGGTGTGGCCGAATGTCAGCTGAAAAGCCCGAGCCCATAACCGGGGATGGGATTAAGCCTTGAGCTGATCCATTAAGACGCAGCAAACGTTCTAAAAGAAGGGGAAAGGGGACGGCACGGGCGGGTGCAGGCCCACAAGCCGATGACTTGCATGCCTGCATGCCTGGGAATCCTGGTGGCCTGTTCAACAGGACGGTTTATGTTATTGCATGTTCATATTATTGAGGAGCGACTTGGCCTAGGAACATCATTCACTTGCTTGTTAGTTGAACCCCTCTTGACGAACAACAGGACTACACATCGGTACCGTTGGCAAGGAGAGATTTCACCATAGTGTACGGGCGTGTACCAGCGTATCGACATACCCACCTTAGCTAGCCTTGAGGTACTGTTGGCAGTTGCATAGCGGCAGTCGAAGGAGGATACCTAGGTAACCACCGGGCGATCGACACGAGGACCATGGGTTGCACCGAATAATTGGAGGTCAGCGTTTCGTTCACCCTCTAGCATTTAAGCTGGGGGTAAAGAAAGCAACGGGCCAGCATATAAAAAGGTCCAGCCGAAGTGCCTTGCGCGTTTCGATACGGGGAGTGGGCGGGGGCGTTTCGAACCTCGATTCGCGACGGGTGCGTCCAAACCGGATCTGCAGCAACGGGGCCACCCACAGGAAATACGAGCCAGAAGTTTAGGTAAGGGAAGACCGAATCGAACGACACAATAGCCGGCGTCAACGGCGCGCACTGCTGCTCACGATCTGCCGCAGTAGCCTGGACAACCCTGCATCAAGCAACACAAGACGGGGCGGAACGTTGCGATAAGATGCGGAGCGGTACGCTGTAGTGCGCTGGGAGACAGCATGAGAACGGCGAACAGACATGAGACAAGGAGAAGGATACCGAGTGCGAGAAATCATCAGCGCCTCACCAGCGCGTGAGGCAAGTAGTGACCTGATCTCCCCTGGGTGCAAGGCCGAGCAGACTGGGCAGCGGATTCGCGGCCAACTACATACGAAGTCCCCTAATGCGGACTGGAAATGGGCCGGGGCCAAGTCTGCGTACGTGACGACAAGCAGGGCGATCCCAAGTAAGCCAGGCTGATCTGTCTGCAGCTGGCAATGACCATGACCAAAAGCCTGGGCGGTATTTTAAAATCTAGTTGTGGAGGACGGCGACCGCTGTCCTGCTCCTCAGGGCCGTCTGGACCATGCGCGATACACCATGGAGCACGAGTACTTAGACTTACAGGCGAGCCTGTCATAAGACGACGCTAAGATACGGATACAAACGTTGACGTGCGCATATGTCGGGCATGGGCTAAGAAGATTGGTCTCGACAGCGTGCGGGCAGCGGATGGGGCGAGGAGGCGCTGGCGTGCGAATGCACCAAGGCCGCCCGCCCATCAGGCCACCCATTCAGGGCAAGGAAACCTTGATTCATGAGACGGACGTTGTTTGGCAGATTGCGCACCGGCCGTCGGTGCAACCGAGTTGCCAAACGCATCACGGTGTATGGAGGGCCAATCGCATGAAGTTTTACCAGAGCAGTGCCGATCCTGTTTCTCGAGAGCACGGAGACAAAACAGAGGGGGATTGGGGAGATGTAGCACAAGGGTGCGTGCTGGGGTTGCAGCAAAAGCGAAGGAAAGAAAAATAACATGGAGAGAAGACGGTGGGCTCTATCAAGAGGGTCGGCGTAAATCCGACGATCAAGTCCCTGTCGCGATTAAGCTACAAGACAAGCCTAAATCAGTCTACGGCAGGGGTCTCGGGTCTACCTTAACCCAATTAAGCTCTGGATAAGTACTTGGGTAGTAGGCTGAGGTGAGGATCCAGAAGCTATGCATGGCGACATGTTCCCCTCGGCTAGTGTGGGCAGAACGGTCTCGTCCAATGAGTCTCCCGAACTTTTCAACGGAGACGCAGAGAGGGAGGAAGGGCAAAGTCAACAGTTTTCTGCGGCGGGCCTTGGCAGTTTGAGCTGGTGTACGACGACCATGTGTTGGTGTTCACCTCTACTTCTGACTGTACACTTCAGAGAAAAGAAGGTTGTGTATGACAGCGAAGGCTAAAGCAATCACGTAAATCCTTAACGGCACCAAGGAAGAACTCTGAGTTGCGCGGGCTTCTACTGCATAGTACACAGGTATCTAGGTGGCTTACGTAACGACCTACCTGTTCAGGGTGACCCTACGGGCGGGACCCAGCACTTGGTGTGTCGGGGAGGGCAGGCCCAGGACACACGTGCGCTACCAGGTACGGTCTACCAAACCTTGCTTCTAAGGTACTTTAAGTTAAGGCCCGGGCACCTCGACCTCGGCGTTGAGGAGCGTCACTCCGCCCTCGACTGAACACTTGGAACTTGCAGCCTGTGAGTCAAGTCGGTGGAACCGTATCTTGACACACATCTCTCCTACCCGCTTGTCTCACCAGATTTCCAAACCCACCGCTGCCTCATATCATCCCATTTTCATGAACCATTCCGCACCCAGCCCCGCTTCAGACTGCACTGCAACCCCATCATCTACCTGCACGGCCACAAGACGAAGTAGCGCTATTCCACTGTCCGCCTTCTCAGCAAGAGACTCGGCACAACAACTTCCAAAGCTTTCCTGGCCGTCCTCCTTGCCCTAGGTGTGTCATGACATGATACATGCCTGTGCTCGAGCTGCCACGAACTGGAAACGTTGTTGGGCGGTCTACCCCATGAAGAGGAACTTTGACACTTTCCTGGGCCGTCCTGTTCCGCCTTCTCGCAACATGGCCGCTGCAGCCACCACCATTGGGACGCCCGTCCTTCAACTTACTGCCAAGGAAGAGCAGCTGAAAGAACTTCTCGTCGAGGTAGCTGCTTCGATCGACAGGACGTGTCGCCCTTCAGATCCTCCTCTGGTCCTTCGTTGGGCTGGTGGCTGGGTTCGCGACAAGCTCCTTGGCATCGAGAGTCATGACATTGACACGGCTATCAATGTCATGACCGGCTATACCTTCAGCCAGAAGATGCGTGACTATTGCGACGACTCGGAAAACAGGAGGAAGCACAACATCAGCCCTGATGATCTGGGGAGCATCCACAAGATTGCCGCCAACCCAGACAAGTCCAAACACCTCGAGACTGCCACTTCCCGCATATTTGGCCTAGACGTCGATTTTGTTAACCTTCGAAAGGAGACTTACACCCAAGACAGTCGCAACCCAATCATGGAGTTTGGCACAGCCGAGGAGGATGCTATGCGTCGGGATGCCACCATCAACGCCCTATTCTACAATTTGCATACTGGTCTCATCGAGGACCTCACAGGTGGTCTTAAGGACATGGCGTCGCGACTCATTCGGACCCCAATGTCTCCTCTTCAGACATTCACGGACGACCCGCTGAGGGTCCTGAGGTTAGTTCGCTTTGCCAGTCGTCTGGACTTCGACATAGACCCTGCTGCAACGGCAGTCATGGCGGAGCCTTCTGTGCTGGATGCATTGAAACTCAAGATCAGTCGCGAGAGGGTTGGGGTCGAAGTCGAGAAGATGCTCAAGGGTAGACATCCCCGGAAAGCTCTCGAACTCATACATAACCTTGGGCTTTACGAGGCCATCTTCACAGATCCAAGTGGCGAGCAGTGCCCTGCACCAGATCTCTCCAAGTGGAAGCTTGCTTATGGCTGTCTCGATCTTCTCTTTCGCGATCGCGTGCCGGGATCCATTTACAACACTCTCGTTGCCACAGACGAGGCTGCTTACTTGGCGTGGGCATTGGCTGCAGTCATACCATACTCACATGTGAAGGACGAGGTTGCCTTTCCAAAGAGTAAGGGAACTATACCCGTGACCACACTGGTGGCGCGAGAAGGCATCAAGGGTCCGAATAAACTGTGTGACATGATCACCGGGGCATCCCGTCATTGCCGCCAGATCACAGCCATGAAGGACAATGTCTGTGCCAAGAACCCGCCCTTTTCTCAAAGAGATATTGTCGGTATGGCAGTCCGAAAATGGGATGCTCAAGGAGGCCACTGGCAGACTCAAATTGTATATGCCATTCTCGTTGAGGCCACGGACAAATTGGAATCCCTCTCCGATTCAGGTGAGCACTTATAAAATTGATCTCAGTGAAGATTTGTAGCTAACACCATTGCAGACGTTTCGGGATTCCTCACAGGCTGGAAATGTTTCTTGGACCACCTGGCTGATTTGGACGTTATGGATGCCCCATCACTGAGACGCCTAGTAGACGGTCGGTTACTAACGAAGGAGCTTGGTGTTCGCCCAGGTAAATGGATGGGGCAAGCCCTGGAAGTGTGTGTGGCGTGGCAGCTCCGCCACCGCGGCGAAACCGATCCAGCTGGTGCGATAGCCGAAGTGAGGCAACGTTCTAAAGAGCTTGGAATCGCAGGCATGCAACGGCAGAACTGAGAGCCTTTCCAGACAGCTACATCAGTGGGAAGCCGAAATAAGAGCATAAAGAAAAAGGTGGGAGGGGGGGCGCGGGGCGGGCTTGATGTTTGCCTCGTCAATCGTAGGGACTGGCCATAAAGGTGTACGGTAGATGTTGAAGACCAACGCCAGAGGACAGTGGGCTGCAAATGAAGTCTGTTTATTGCACTATAGTTGACGCGCTCTGTAGTGCAATAAACAGACTTCCTTTCTTCCCTTCTAACCTTTTCTTCGCAGCGTCAACTATGCGATCCGCCATGACCAGCACAGCGGGCGGGTCGTTTGCCAAAGCGATTATTCCCTCTCTTCTCTCCGTTTTGTTGACGAATGCAATATGATTGTCTAAGCCGGGCATTGGTCACTTAGTCAGTCACATAAACATGGATGGACATGGCGCCAAAAAAAAAAAAAAAAAAAAAAAAAAAAAAAAAAAAAGTACAGGCCGTTTCTTCTTCTTCTTCTTCCCCTTTTTTTTTTTTTTTCCCCTTTCCCCAATACCGCGAGGGCCCAGGGGGAAGCGCTGCGCCGTTGCTCACCAAGCCCCCTTTGTTGAGTCAGCTGCTCTCTACCTTGGGTACCTAGGTAGGTTAGGTAGTTAGGATCCTTAGCCACTTTGCCCAAACAACTATCCTCTTCGCCTGGAGGTTGTGACCGCCGTTTGCGATTCACCCATTTCTCAAGTTCACTGCGACCGAAATTAATCCCCGTTGAACGTTGCAGCTGGCAGTCACGTACCTCAGCCAAGCCCAACCCTACTTGAAAGGCGGCGCTATGCTCCGCACCCTCGTTGCGCAGTTGCAACAACCCAATGCGGCTATCCAATTCAAGCTAGCACAAGGTGGGTGGTTACGGCCACCGAGGAAACACGCGACGCTATTTAGAGACTAACAATCAAAGATAGTCCTGCCACAACGTTATACTCTCTTCGACATTGCCAACGGGTTGTCCGAATGCCAGACCTTGGTGAGTTTTTTCCCCTCGCCAAGGGTTCCAACCCTGACTAAATTGATGCAGCCGGAACGCCGTGTCATCGAGGGGGTATCTCTCTGCCTGAAGCAGACTGATCGCATTGAGAGGAGATCTGAAGATGCTGAAAATGCTGCCAGATTAGCCAACTATGCCACGATGCTCCTCGAGCGAACCCCGGATGGCCTGCCTCTATGTTGTCCATCATCTGACAATGCTGCTCCCGTGGACGACGTCCTAGGCGTCCTTCTCAGCCTCGTCGTGCATCACTCATTATGCCTTGACGATGACATATTACTGGCTGTGGCCGCGTACACAGACGGCCATGAAGACTGGTCGGCGCCGACAACGGCCTCGATAGCCAAAGACCTGTTGGATCATGCGCTAAGCGACGGGCATCGAAAAACCGCTTTCATCACCTCAGTAGTTCTGGAAAGATTTATCCGGCCAATCTTTTCTCGTTACTCCTCCAGCCGTCTCACTTCAGCTGGCAGGCAAGCCTATTATCGTGACGATGATCACGATGAGGTCACTGGAAGCGCTCTCTCTAGTGGCACAGACACGAAACCATGGAAAAGTACCCAGTCGCATGCTGTCACTGTCTTCGCCTGGACTGTCGAGCAGTCAGATGTGAGTTAAAAAAAAAAAAAAAAGGGGTCAGTCCGCGCTGAACACATCTAAGTAACGAACGGTCCAGGAGCACATTATTGCCACAAAATGGCCTCTTTTTGTCCCCGTTATTCTGTGTCTCATAGACGACACAGACACTGCATACAAGGCGCGGGGCCTTGCTATCCTGCAGGAGTTCCTTGAGCGATCCACTGCCAGTATGCTAAGGGCTACAGGGCTTGGTGAAATATTTGAGCAATCCATCTTTCCCTCCTTGATGTCCTTGCCGACCTTGACACATGAGGATGAATCGATCCAGCTCCTTATTCCGGCGTACGGTGCTGTAATACGGTTGGCAGATGTCCAATTTCCAGATCCAAGCACCGGCTCTCAAAAGAATCATTTTCTTACCAGGTTGCTCAGGGAGGCCATTTTGGCCGGTTACTGGCATGCATCCGATTATGCCGGCATTGTCGAAGTGCTGTCACGGCAGGTTTCGTCAGTCGTCCGCAGACTGGGCACGTTTACTATCCCGCACGTCAAGGTCAGAAGCAGATGCTACTTGTTTTTATTTCGTTACTTACATACGATTAGGGTTTGCTGTCCATGCTGACGACCATTCTGTCCGACCCTTTCATCGTTACTCGTCCAGAATGTGTCCAGGCAGCTTCTCAGGCGCTGTCGACCGTCTTGCTGAATTGCTGGTCTAGAGTTGCAGATCCAGCGCATTCAATTGAGGTACTGAGAGCCGTAAGCGTGTGTTGGCTGAATTTGAAGGATATTCAAGGAGTGCCGCAAGACAAGGCACCGCAAGAAGCTTTTGTGGCCTTGGCCAGCCTGGCACGATTGCTGTCTACTATATTCAAGTCCGCTGGCATATCCCCGCGACAGCAATTCGCACCGTTGTGTGACGTAGAGCCTAGACTCTCGGGCCTATTTAGTGATGCGGAGGCAAAGGCCAGCGAGCTGCCGGATAATACTGGTTTCAGTCCAGAGGCTGTTGCTTGAAGAAGGACTTCCCGCGCAACCATTTTCTATACGCTTTGTATCGCTTTTTTTGTGCATCCTCCTCTGTCACTGTGAGCGGGTTGCTTCCAATTTTGAGCAGCTCGGTGTAGACAGCGATATCTTCCTCAGCACCCACAGGCGTAAGCGGGTCGCTTTGCCAGCTGCTCTGGACATAATCCTGGTATTCAGACTGGTTCTCAGCCTGTGCCTCGGCTGATACAACCAAGGGCAGATTCTGTGGGTGGCTGATGTACCGCTCATAATCCTCGGCTTCTTGTTGACTGACTGACGGGTTCAGAGACTCGTTGACCACCTTCGTAAATGTCCATTGTGCTGCTTTTGTCTTCTCCTGGGCTGTGGGCTTCGTCTTGGGCGATCCCTGAGGTTCCGCCTGCGTCTCCTTCATGATTCCATGATGGCCAACAACCCTTTCCTGCATCGGCTGCAACCAGCGGTGGATCGAGATTCCTTTACCGCCTGTTGTTCGGTCCGATATGACAGATGCTGCGTCTAGATCTGGCGGAGACCGATAGTCCTGCGGATCAACGATCGTCACCTCCTTCTTCGGCTTTTTTTTCTCATGCGCATCCATGTCGGTCTCATTGCGCACTCTGAAAGGGCTCAGGTCATATCGACCGTCTTGGGTGGATTTGAACGGTATATATTTGATGGTAGAATTCATCTTGTACGGAAACATTTTGAGAAATGACGAAAGGGTGGATGGCCTGTAGTACTCGACCCAATAGTCGTCAAAAAAGGATACGGGCATCTTCTTCGCATCGCCAGGAGGTGGGCTGTAGGCTGGGAATTTGCGCTCCTGTAGATTCTCCGGTGTAAACCAATCGATGTAGTCCCGTTTAGTCTTTTCGGACCATGTGCGGGGATCTGCATGGTGGAGGTAGTAATCGGTCGCCAAATCCCACAACATTGGCTGTCCCTGGGCGAAGATATAGTTTCCAAGGAACAGGTTGTAGGCCTCCTGGCGCTGTCCGTCAAGGAATGAGTTGTTGTAGTATCGTTTGAAACTCTCAATCATGTCGCGAGAATGGCTAGTCCATTGATTGATCTTGCGATATGTCTCCATAGTGTTGACAAGCTGGGAACCGCCATACTGAACAGCTATGGTGTCACCATGATCGTGATACATATGCGTGAAAAGATTGACGGCGTCGGTGTCGTAATTGATAGATGTGTCCTCGAGAATTCCCAAGGCATGAAGCTGGTGGCCGAGCGCCCTTTTCCCAATAACAAATTGCGCTGCGTTTGTGCGGTCTAAGCAGTCGATGCAGTTGGTCCGGGCCACTCCATTCTGGACGCTGGTTGGATTGATGTTACCGTCGCCGTCATGGAAGAATCCGGTCGTGACAACAACATCTTCGGCAATGCGCTCCAGGGTCCCAATAACGTCTTGATCGCGACTTTTTGCGGCCCTGCTCATATCCCAAGCTTTGTGGATTATTTTGCGTCCTTCAGGCAAGAACTGGTTGAGGTAATTGATCGCATTGGTGTACTCCAACAGGAGCTTTGACTCTCGTGGCGTTCTCTCTCTGGCTTTGACCAAGTTGAGGACGTAGATTGGGGCGCCATACCGCTCAAAGAGATTGTCGAAGTGTAGGGCTGCAGCGCTGTAGAACGGATCCACCAGGTTCAGCTCGATCGGAGGCTTGGGGGTTACGCCTGTGTTGTCTTGCGTCCAGTAGAGGGGAATGCTTCCTCTGTGCTGTACATAGGACGTGTACTGCGGGCTGGAGAAGAGCCTTGGGCCAGGTGCATGGAAAGACGTGGTAAGAGCCTCTGAAACTATCTGTTCGGTTTCGACATCATTGGCAACGTAACCCTTCGCCGGAGGTCAGTGGCTACTTCTGCGCATCCAAATGGAGGCTGACTTATTATGACGGGTGCTTACCAGATCGTTGGCTCCTCGTTTGAGAAATCTTGCGCCAGCGAAGAAACGGGAACGCCTCGCTATTATCGTGATGTAGGCCGTACGTCCGTAGATCGACAGCGCTGGTTCTTCGTTTCAGTATCGGCGCATCACATGAGATTGCCAGTCTGCTTACCAGCTTGGTCAATGTACACTCCGTTGCGTTGACAGCGTCCGCCCCCCTTTTTTTTCCCCGCTTATGCAAAAACATGAAAAAAAGCCAATTTTACGCTGTGACGCGCATTTCTCTGCATCGCACGCAAAACGCGTCAAAGTCATCACCAACACCTCAATTGCCGTCAATCACTATAGTCCCAGTAGTATTCAAACGTATAACTACACGATAGAGACATAAGGTGTGTATTTCATGCTTCCGTAGCAGTCAATCTACCCATCGAGGCATTGCCAACCCAGCTAGTCACCTCATCCCCATACCATTCGACCAACAAAAGGTCTATTTTCGTCATGAGAGATCAAGATGACATTTGCTGAGGAACAGAAGAAGAGACCTGCTGTATGACTTTATATATCTACTCAGCATACGGTTTGTATGGCTCTGAGTAATATATAAGCATACCAAGGGGCTTGATACGGTTCTTCAGAGCAAATGCTTTGGCAGTCAACAGGATTAATGACTCTCCTGATAGCTCAGCTTGTTCACGATATTGAGCAAGAGTCTACTGCTGTATAGATTGTGCCCTGTTACTTACAGTTTGCCGCTGGTCAGTACATGTCCGTGGTTTATTATATCAGATACATCGAGAAAGACGCCGGGCGACGACGACGATACAATGGCGCCCAGAATATCGAATCTACAGCTATCGACGATCGCGATGATACTGCCATTCGAAGACCAAAAGACCCACGAGCTGGCAAGTATCGTTGGCTGTACCGAACGAACGATTCGACGACATAGATCACGACGTAATATCACTGGCGAAGTGCAGAGATATAAGAGGTGCCGCCAGAGTCGACAAAAGATGGAAATATGGCATCGTACAGAGCTTCTTGAACTACTGCAGTACCGCAGCGATCTATCTCTTGAAGAGATGCAAGATTTCCTATTTGAAGCCTTCGAGATCCAGATCAGTCGTTCTGCAATCAGTCGACAGTTAAACTCAGCTGGCTGGACGAACAAGAAGTCCAAGATTATTGCTGCTCAGCGAAGTGACGAACTACGATACGAGTACTTGTACCGTATACGACGATATCGCCCCGACCAGCTGGTATTCGTCGACGAATCCGGCGTCAATAAGGATACTGGGATACGGAGGACTGGATGGGCGCCGAAAGGGCTTGCTGCGTTTCGAACTGCAGAGATTGATCGGTTTCAGAACTCTCGCGTACAGATCCTGCCAGCCCTCACGTTGAGCGGTATCCTACACTTGACTACGTATTATGGTACGACTGACGGCGATGGGTTCTTTCGTTGGCTACAGGAGTGCCTTATCCCGAAATGTGGGCGTTTTCCAGAGCCAAACTCTGTCATCGTTATGGATAACCTCTCCTGCCATCGTATACCTGAAATCGAGGGTTTATGCCGGGTATCAGGTGTCCATCTCGAGTTTCTGCCTCCGTATTCACCAGACTTCAACCCCATCGAAGAGTACTTCGGCGATCTAAAGCGATACATCAGGAAGACGTATTCGAAGTGGAACAACGATGAGAATGACACTCGGGATTTCATGGAATATCTACGTGACTGCGCTATGGAGATTGGGTATCGTCTACCCCAGATCGAGGGCCATTTCCGCCATTCGTTCGTCAACTTTGATGGGACAGAGCATATATTTGACGATATCGAACTATAAAAGGGAGGATTTGCTGCCAATATTGAACATCAGCAAGCAATCCAAATTTTCATCGTGCGTTCGCGCGCAATAGATCTTAATCGTGTCGTCATATGATGGTCAATCATCAAATCCATGATTGTAGCCAACAAGATTGCCAAAAGGTTAGCCACAAGCGCACCAGAACACAAAAAATATACCGTCGTCCATTGTTTTCGTCGGTAGCTACGTATACATATCAATTTTGCCTGTATAACGGCTGAAACGCGTTGTTGATGCTTGTGACGATGATTTGTGATGATGACACGTCATCACGATCAGAGACTTCAACCATAGTCAGAGACTTCAACTGCCCCTAACCAGTATCGGGATGGACCGAAGTGTATTGTTTGCAGATCCAAAATAACAGTAATTCTATTGCTTTTATACGTATAGAGCGGCAGTGTTGAATCTACGGCTATGGGTAGACTTTTCCGTGGTTGAACACGTCATGCAAAAAAATCGCGCATACAGTCAAACTTCACACCACTCTTGCTGTATCACTCTTCTTCGTTATCCTCCTCCGAGTAATACGTCTCTGTTGACGACGTATCACTCGAGATTTCAATCTGATTGTCCTCATCGCCTTGCTCGATTTCGTCTTGTTCGATCTGTAACTGCGTGGGCAGCATCTGCGACGCTGACAGCAGTGGTGACGAAACGAAACCAAAGAGTTCCGAAACGCCTACAAAGTTAGCCATATTCGACAGTAAACAGCTCTATATACACTCACCACGTCGACCAACTTCAACTGGCGTACCACGGATCTCTTGCTCGATGGATTGACGTGGCACTAGGGCGTCGATATGTCGGGATGACCCCAACTCGCCTGAAACTAGCGCCGCAGAGTTTTCAACTGGCGCCGCCGCCGTCCCTCCTGGCAATCCAGCGTATATTCTTGTATAAACATCTCCTTCTGACTCTCGATGGTTTGAATGAAGTTCAGAGTGAGATACCACGTCGGAGAGGGCGTCAGACTGCCCTCCGTAGTAGGCGCTGTTGTCTATGAAGGATTTGATCGAGTTCCTGACATCTTCGGTAAGATCTTGAGTAAAACCCTGTTCAGTAAACCAAATATCTGGTAACTTGCGAATTGCCCGCAAGCTACTGTCTACTGATCGCAGTTTCTGTAGCTTCTTTCTGAACCCTTCGTCGACGTTATATCGCTTGCCGCGGACGGATATAAACCACTTGATGAAGCTGGCCACTTGATCTAGAGCTTTTCGAGGCGAATCCGGTACCACTGGCGAGGACGAACGAATCGGGAGTGCGATACTTGGTTGACGAGTGCTTGGAAGGTTCAATGGCGGAAGAGTTGGCAACGAATACTGTGAGATGTTCGCATATGGCCAATATGCCGGCGGCGGCGGCGCCGGCGGCGGCAGCTGTACGTATGGGTTAGGATATTGAAGATGACGATCTGGCGCCCCCGCGTTGCCGTATATATTGACGATGGCGTTGCTGTTGGCGTTGGTTAGGCCAGATCTTGACCCTGATGATGGAAGTGCGGCATTTTCAGCCTTCTCTTCCGTCATCACTGTCGTCTCCTGGTTATCATCAACCTCCACGATATTCTTACTTCTCTTGCCCTGGCGTTTCTGATCCTCTATAAACTGGTCGTGAAGAATCTCACCAAGCAGTTCTTTAGGTGGTTCCATATTGTCAACGCCAGCCTGTCCAGTCATAATAGCCTTCGCCCACTTCTCTATATGGTGAGATTTGATCTTGTAGTGCTTCTGGCCTAGTATATAGCACCAGTTGAACTTCTCGTCGCCCGAACTATTCTTACATCTCTGGTACTCTGGGCAGATGTGCGTACGGAGAAGTTGTCTGTGCATACCCTCCTTCCGACGCTCGACGTTTGCAGGATCGTTAGCCTCACGATCGATCGCCTCTTGCATGCCGGCTGAAACGCCTGCTCGGCCACCTTTTCGAGGCGTTCGTACGCCAGTCACTATACCACCAGAGATTGGTACGGCGCTGTATTGCCACTTGACGGTGAGGTGGACTTCACCCCTCTCTTCAGCTTGTTCAAGAGAGGGGACAATATCAACCCATGGAATACTTGGCCAAGTGACCCCTCCAGTAGACGGATAGACCCGAGTGAAGATTGGTGTTGGTTTAGATGCGTTGGTGGGCTTCCTCCAAGCAACGACAACAGCGATATTGGCCTTCTTCACAATATACGAGTGAGCCACTTCTGCCTCAAGTTGGGCGCCGCTGTCTGCCTCCCAGTCTCTACTATTCGCATCTAATACAGGAGCAATACTGAATCTGTTATACGCGATGCTCTCGATGGTTAGATCGAGAACAGGTAAACCGTTACCCTTGAGCGCTGGGCCACGGGTAACCTGGATTTGTAGCAGAGTTGGTTCCTCGTTACCCATATCGTCCTCCTCTTCAAATACATCGTGGAACGACATAAACGTATCATCAGCGCTATGGCGAGGGGCCGTAGGCGTATCGTCCGCAAATCGAGTGGTTTGACGAGGGGTTGGGTTAACTGGGGTCGAGTCTGGTCGAAACGGTGGCATCGACGAAGGCAGAGTACTTCGGAGCCGGATCGTATGCGGCGGATCCTTCTTTCGCTTCCTCTGCGTTGTCGTTGCTTTTTGGCGAGAGGACGCTTTTGGAGCTCTTCGTGATGACGGAGGGGCTATAAGTACACGCTTTCTTCGCGATGTAGACTCAGCCGCCACCAAATCATTAGTCTCGGGTCCAGCCTCGGCGACGATAACCTCCTCGGCGGCCTCCTCGGCGGCCTCTTCGGCGGCGGCAGCCCGGCGAGCCCTCTCGGCGGGCGTAACGATCCTGATCGACGGCGAGGCAGAGCGTTGAGGAGGATCTCTGGCGGCGTCCTGTGCCAGTTGTTGTATACGTCGTTGTTTCCGCGTACCGTTGGCGATGGGTGACGGACGATGCCCAGAAGGGTCATCATCCGCCTGCCGAGCCGCGCGGCGGCGTTTAGGAGGCATCACGATGCCCTCAGATAATGAGATTCAATAGAAATAGATCAATTGAAGCCATCAGAATAGGTCAATTGCCGTACTACGAATATCTACGTGGCGTTGGGCAAATTTTCATGTATATACAGGGATTATGCGTGCGTAATTTCGGCAAAAAGGGGGGGCGGACGCTGTCAACGCAACGGAGTGTATCCGTGGATGATGGGACGACACCAGTCGAATGGGTCTTTCAGTGCCTTCATCGCCGGCTGCAGTAAGTGACTGTTCCATACGAACATACCGTTGAAGTCATCCATAGCACCGGGCAACCCTCGGGCAAGAGCCTCTCGCTCCCGGTTCAAGTTGTGCTGTAAAGTACGAGTGATGTCGTAGGAGTAGCTGTAATAGAATGACCTCGTCAGATCGAGGTTGTTCAGTATCCCTAGGAAGCGGGACTCCTCTGTATTTCTAACGTCGGCCTTGAACCGGGTAGGAGTGAGCGGCACCAGCTCTGTACCATCTACTTGATAGATGTAGTGCCCACCAATCATAGCCACTGTACTCTTTTTTGTAATCAGGAGCATGTAGTATGGTCCTGTGAACTTGATGAATCCGAGGAGGCCCCATGTTGTGCACCGAAGCTTGATGCCTCCTGTCCCCTTGT